AAAGGCTCTGACACAGACTCTACAGGTGGCCCGGGTGCCCCGGGAAGGCTCGCCGTTCCCCAGCCCGAGCCCACCGGGGTGGCCCGCGGTTTGGAGCGGGATGCACCCCAGGCTCGAAAGGGTCGGGGTGTCTGCAGGCAGATGCGGCTTCACCAACACCGGGTCCGAGACACAGTCCGGGACACGCTTTAACGTTTAACCTCACTAAGCACGTGCTGTTCCCAACTCCACGTCGGGAGACAGCGCCTGTCGGCCCCGGGGCGGATCTCCGACCGCGAAAAGCGACCCGGCGGAGGAGTCGCCGGCACCGGCCACGTCAGGGGGCGGGGAAGGCGGAGCCTGGGAAGGGGGAGAACGGAGGTGCTGGGGCCGGGGTACCGTCTCCGCACTGTCTTCCACTTTGTGTGGATTTTTTTTAAAAAGTTACTCTTTGCCCCTTCAGTAAAAGTTTTGCGGGGGTCGGGGGGTGAATTAAAGAAGGGCACGTAAAATGGGGAGATGGGTTACTTTGATCAAAGTTTTAGGGTTTTACTAGTGGATTTTAAAATCTCCGTGATTAATTCCAAGCAAGAATGCATTTAAGCGTGGGAAGGGAAAGCCCGTTCCTTCTTTTACTCTCTCATTCATTCATTCATTCATTCATTCATTCATTCCCCCCCCGGCCGGCGTCCCCCGCCCAGTCTTCGGTCTCAGGTGTGACCCCGGCGCCAGCGGCCCCTTTAAGAACTCACCTGTAGCCACCGCCTCGGAAGCCGCGCCGGTTGAAGTTTCGACTGCACCTCGGAGCGGACGGCTGGCGGGACTGGACCCCGCGCAGGGGCTGAGCTACCCAGTTGGTAGAAAAAAAATCTCGCGGAAAGCTCTCCAGGTCGCTTCCCAGGTCTTCGAGCCTCTTCGGGATAACAGGGAGGTCCCGGCTCTGAGGTCCAGAGGGAAGAATGTGCCCAAGGTCACCCAGGATTGGTAACCAAACTGGAAACTCGGAGACCGAGCTTTCAAACCCGGAAGACTCTTCCCAGTCGGTGAACTTGACAGCCTTTCCCCGAGGCCATAGCCTTGGGACAGAAAGGGAAGTCCGGGGAACCTTGTACTGTAACCGTAACAGTTACTCAGAGGCATGCTGACCACTGCTTTCGCTTTCCGATCGCACCTGGGAACCCAGACTTGGGAGGACCCCACCGGACCCTCTTTCTCAGTTTAAGGTAAAGGAGCTGAGGTCTGGAGAGAGGGAGCAAACTTGTCCAAGGGCATCTACGCGAATCGGTGACAGCAGCCCAGAACCAGGTCTCCTGATTCCATTCCAGGGCTCCTTCCACTGTGAGTTTTGGGCGACTTCGGCAGTGGTCTGTTGGTCTATCTGCAGCAGATCTCTTTGCTCCCCTGGATCAAGCACCTTGGGAGTTTGAGCAACAGTGAAAGCAACATTTCATAGAAGAAATGAATGGACATGTGAAAGGAAGCTCTTAAAAGCAATGAGCTTAAATAGAGGGACTTCTTAAAATAGTGAAATGGGGTGTTGTTTTTTAATAGTGAAAATGTCTGATGTCAGGCATGCTATTATTATTGAAACTGCCTTGAGGAACTGTGATTCCTCTCCAAGAATGGACTCTGCAGAACTCAGAAGGAGGAAGGTATTTTGCTCTCTCTCTCTTAATATCATTCATTGTTCTAAATGTTCACTTGCTGGGCAATGGGGATAGAAACAAATAAGATCGGAGCCATGCTCTCAAGAACCCACAGCCTACTAGCAGGACAATGCTGCTTTTCCCAGGAGCCACGGGAAAGCCGAAAACAAAATTTGTGTGAGTTCTCAATGTCATCCTAGTCCTCCCCTAGGAGGCAGAGGAGACAAGAGGGCCTGCTTGCCATCCTCTAGCCCTATGTGGCTGTCAGCAGTGTCCTGAAGTAGAAATGAAGCTAGTCCTTGTTCCACCCTTAGGGGCCAGGACAAGTCCAAGCCTAGTATGAGCAGCCTTTACTTTTCATCCCTCCTTTCTATCCTATCTGTGTTAGTTATCTATAGCTGCATAACAAATTCCTCAAACTTTAGCGACTTACAACTTAGTAGCTTAGTAATCTAAACAGCAATAAACATCATCTCACCCGTTTCTGTAGGTCAGGGATTTAGGAGGATCTTAGCTGGATAGTTCTGGTTTGAGGTCTCAAAAGATTGCAGTCAAGATATCTATAAGGGCTGCAGTCATCTGAAGGTACAACTGGGATTAAGGGAGACTCTTCCAACATGGCTCACTCACAAGGCTACTCAGTTGCTGGCTGTTGGCAAGAAGCCCAAGTTTCTTACCATGAAGCTCTTTCTATAGGGCTTGAATGTCTTCATGACATGGTGGCTGTCCAAGCCTAGTATGAGCAGCCTTTACTTTTCATCCCTCCTTTCTATCCTATCTGTGTTAGTTATCTATAGCTGCATAACAAATTCCTCAAACTTTAGCGACTTACAAATTAGTAGCTTAGTAATCTAAATAGCAATAAACATCATCTCACCGTTTCTGTAGGTCAGGGATTCAGGAGGATCTTAGCTGGATAGTTCTGGTTTGGGGTCTCAAAAGATTGCAGTCAATATATCTATAAGGGCTGCAGTCATCTGAAGGTGTGACTAGGATTAAGGGAGACTCTTCCAACATGGCTCACTCACAAGGCTACTCAGTTGCTGGCTGTTGGCAAGAAGCCCAAGTTTCTTACCATGAAGATCTTTCTATAGGGCTTGAATGTCTTCATGACATGGTGGCTGACATCCTCCAGAGCAAGTGATCCAAGAGAGCAAGGCAGCAGCCACATCTTTCATGACCTAATCAGAAGTAACATCTATCATTTCCACAATATCCTATTGGTTACTTAAGTGAGCCTGAAGAGTATGAATAAGGAGATAAGGAGGTAAGAACCATTAGGGGCCATCTTGGAGACTGGCCAGCATACTATGGCAACATACAAAGCAACGACATCTGGATTTTTCCTAACAACTTTTATTTCTTTGAAGTCTTCCTTGCTTTATGCAAGTAGCAGCTGCCATTGAATAGGATCCAAGATAGGATCTGATTACTTTTCCGACCTCCTCATTAAAATATATATTTTCGGCTCCAAATTAACTTTACTATCTCTCAGTTCTAAATCTTCCCTTTCCAACCATCCCAAACAAGCCGCTCTATAGTTCCACATCTGTCTTTGTTCTCTCCCCTGTCCAGGTCCCCAGCCTATTCTCTGTAAAGGTGTCTAGATGCGGCCAGACTCGACTGTATCTTTTGCTCTCACTCTGGCAGAGTGGCAGTGTGCTGCCTGTGCCAAGGCAATCACTAAAGAGAAAGGATTTGATGCTGTCAAAAATGCTTATACCTGCTTAGGCCACAAGAAGAGGAATAGTGTTGAGAATGATGGAAGTGATCATGCTGGTCAGATCTTCACAAAATGCTCAGGAGGCATTTCCCGACAGCATACTTTTTAAACAATATATAATTGATTTCAGAGATGAAAGGAGAAAGAGAGATAGAAACATCGATTATGAGAGAGAATCATTGATTGGCTGCCTCCTGCATGCCCCAAAAAATCACTGGGCCACACCAGCCGGGCTGGCAGCACACTTTAAGAGGCATCTACCAGCATCTGGAAAAAAGAGAATAACCAGAACAATAGGGAATATGAAACTTTGCCTCAAGGGGAACAGTTGTAGAATCTAAGGTCATTTCTTTGAGAAAAGACAGTATTCTAAGAAGCTTGACTTCAGTCTTCAAACAGGCTTATTCTGTGTATCCACAGGACAGGACTAAAACTAATGGATGAAATTTACAAAGACACAGGACATTTTTTAACATGATTTGTCAAAACTGTCCAAAATTCCAAAGAGCTGCCCCAAGGTGATGGGCGTTTCCCGTCAAGCAGAGGCTGAAAGAGTCCGGCAAAGCTTCCTTGACAGAGGGAGTAGAGACTCGGGACAGAAAATTGGACTAAGTGACCTCTGAGACCAAAGTTCTAAGCACTTAAAACTTTAGTCCTTTCTTTGCTACTAGTACCATTTTATCTACATCAAGAATCCATCCTACCCAGTTTAATTGGTACAGGGACTAACCTTTTGCATAGATAACTCCTATTAGAGCAAAACCTTATGCATAGATAACTCCTATTAGAGCAAAAGGTACAAGTTGAAACCAAGTCTTTTTAAAATGTGGACAGTTGCTCATTTTCATGACAATTGCATTGAACTCATGCTTTTTAATGGGTGATCCATTCTCAAATTTTTATATTATTATGTAGTGGGTTCCAAAGTAGGTGTTGGATTAGTAACTGCCTCCCATTCAAACTGATATACTCTTATACCTTATAGTATTCAAGGACATCTGAGATAAACTTATTGGTTATGTTCTCCCACTTTGCAGGGGAAGACACCAAGCAAGAACAAAACAAATAACTCAGTCTAGGCAATGAGCCTGGGACTGAACATTATTAGTTCATTGTTTTTTCCATTAGACTATATTGCCTTTTCTCTACTTGACTACTTTCTAAATTAAAACAAACAAACAAACCCTGTGTCTGTGTGTATGTGTGTGTATGCCCGTGCATGTGCCAGAAAGACAAATACTAAGAGAAAAAAGAGGAGACACTGAGAGAGATTCTGATAAGATAAAGCGTGTGTAAAAAGCTAGTCTGTAACCTAGTTATCATATATTTGAATGCCTTTAACAGTGGAGACAATTTTGATGGAAATGGGAATGTCACCTCTGATGACAAAGAAATAAATATCCACACCTAGTTATATGTTGTGACTAAATGAAATTTTTAATGCAAAGGTGTTTACTTAAAACACTCTGTAGCTTCCTTCTCTCCTTCCTCCATTTACCATTGTAAGTATCCCAGAGTATGAATGGGTGCTTTCACAGGTGTATGGGACATCGCACTGGCCCTCAGACACTATTTAGTACAATCATTTCATTTCATGGACATGTGAAGTAAACTCCAGAAAAGCCCCCAAACTGTATCAGCACACAATTATCAAAGGCCTTTTTTTTTTGATAGCATAATGCTACTGGCATTTCAGGAACAATCCATCTTCCTCTTGGTAGGGAGAGGAAGTGGGAATTGGTAATCTTTTCTAAAGCTATATTTCTAAGTTCAACCAAATTTGCCTGTCTGCTTTTGAAGAACCCACGGTATTGACAGAACCTTAGGGTCCCATATTGAAATCCTTAGGATGATACTCAAGTCTGCTTACGTGAGACAGCCGCCTTACCCCACTCCCTGCCAAGAGGATTACCAGTGTCTATTCAAAGAAGGCCCTGGGTATGGCCCCTTCGTCAAATTATCCTTTCATAGGTGAAGAACACAAACTTGGAAACTTAATTAGAATTTGAAGAAAGGCTATTAGAATTTTAGGATGTCATTTGTATTCCATTTCTAAGATGTGGCGTGGCTAATGAATTCTAATAAGCAAAAGAAGCCAAAGTATTCTTCATAACTGGATGTGGATTAAGTCCTATGACCAAACTCCTTTAGCACAAAATACTGCCACAGTCTTCCAAAAGCTTTCTGTGCCAGCCTTTCATTTTTGGGAAATAACACTTGTTAGAGCCTGTAATCTCCCTGTTCCTCATGTTGTATAATCCTAAATTCCTTTATTATTTTCTTTTATTTTAAGCTTACAAGAAGAATGATAAAGACAAAAAATTATTTAAAATCTCATTTTCTATTTAAATTTATTTTAAATTATATTAATTTCTTCTAAAAGATAATTTTATCAACCGTGATCAAAACATATTTTATCTTTTATAAGTAAAGTTGAGGAAACTTGCAAATATGCTTCTTAAAAACCCTGCAAATTTTTCTCAAGTTGTGTAACATTTCAAATTGCAAATTACCACATGAATAAATAAATCCAAGCCCAAAGCAGATAGGAGATAACAAAATAATAAGTACAAAATCAAAAATAAAGGGGTGGGGGATTATCAGTTGCTAAGGAAAATGAATAAAATAATCCTATATAATAAAAGGCTAATATGCAAATCGACCGAACGGCACAATGACCGGTCACTATGATGCACACTGACCACCAGGGGGCAGATGCTCAACACAGGAGCTGCCCCCTGG